CTATGACCTTCACTGATGACGTCATCTAGGCGCCATTTTGTAAATTTTTCTGAAAATCTACTCATGATCATATCTTCATAACCAAAAGCCATTTTGGATTCATATTTATCATGATTAAGGTCAATATTCGTCCAATCAATTTCAGGTCAAAAAACGCGCGCGTGCGCGTACGTGCGCGTGTCAGTGCGCGCGCAAAATATTAAAATGCTCAAAATAGTCTCAAAAAATTTAACATACGTTTTAGGCCATTTAAAGCATTTTATAAAAAAAATCTCGCACACGCGCATGCGCGCGTGTTTTCGCGCGTTCTGGCATTTTGCAACAAAGAATCGCAGATTTTTCTTTATCATCATATTTGGCACATTTTTCCAAGCATTTTGATACCTTGTTAACATATTTCTGACCATTAATAACGGATTGAGCGTCCGTTTAAGATACACGTCCGTGCGTGCGAACTCTTGTAATACATAGCATATATGGGCAAAAACATGCCTATACAAATCCATTGTAGCTCTTTAGGATGTAAGGTGACCCCAAATTTTGTTTCATATTTTGTAAAATATGAATTGGAAATATAATTTCTTGTCTCATTTGACCCTCAATTAACTCATGACGTCATCATAATGGCCTCCGAACTCAAAATTCCAATTTGCATATTATGACATCAGCATATTTTTGGAAAATTGATTGTATCTCTGTAAATATTGATTGATTTTCTTCCAACTTTCGATATGTTCTAGCTGAGATAGCTCACTGCGAATGCATTGGGCATGATTTTTCATTTCGACAAAATGGCGTATTTTTGCGATTAAGGAGGAATATCAATTTTTCACTTTTTGCGTGTATTCTCTATGGGACATGACTTTTTTCAAAACTGGATTCTACATTCCCGTCTTTCGCGAGCAATATCTCCGTCGTTTTAGCTTCGTTTACGCTGAACTTTAAGTATGTTGTAGCTGAGACAATTAGCTATCTCAAATGTGCCCTTCATTTTGTCTCAAATTTTAGATAGACCAGCCCACCTATACTTGTTCAAAACAAGTATTACAAATCTAGTTATTATTATTATCATCAACATTGTCACCGGAGCAAGTGTCGCTTCAGGCGGAGCAAATGTCGGCGGAGCAATTGTCGGCGGAGCAAATATTCCCGGAGCAATTATCGCTTTTTGCGGAGCAATTGTCGGCGGAGCAAATGTCGGCGGAGCAATTGTGGGCGGAGCAAATGTCGGCGGAGCAACTGTCGTTCAAGGAGCATTTGTCACCGGAGCAAGGGGCGTACGCAGGGGGGGGGGGTTTGGGGGTTCAAACCCCCCCCTTTGGTATTTTTATGTATGTAAACCCCCCTAAAAAATCCTAAAACCCCCCCCCCCCCCTTTGTTCAATATTGATTCTCATCTCAATTTTAATGAGCATATACTTAATTTACATACATCAGTATCGAGGAATATTGGAATATTGTATAATTTAAAACGATTCCTTTCTGAAAGATCAATGATTATATTATACAATTCTCTAATTTTATCACATGTTAAATATTGTAATATTGTGTTGGGTAATTGTCGTTTAACAAGAATTAATTCCTTATCTTTGCTTCAAAAGAGAGCGATTCGCATGATCACTAACTCAAATAATATATCACACAGGGAACCTTTATTTCATCGTTTAAAAACATTAAAAATACAAGATATTCACATTTTTCAGACAAGCATTTTTATGTATAAATATTCTCATAATCAACTGCCATCCTTATTTCACAACATTTACAGTTTAAATTCAAACATTCACACATATCTCACCCATTGTTCAACAAATTATCACTTAGAAAATCCTAAAATACTTTTAGCCCAAAAGTCAGAAAGACATCATGGACCAGATGTTTGGAACTCCTTACCAAATTCATGAGGCATTGTTCATCTCTCTATTCTTTTAAAGCATCTCTTAAAAAACTCTCATATCGAAGAATCTACATAACTGATTGCAACATGCTTCAGAATGTACCATAAGCATCTGAAGGTTCAAAATTGTCCAGGGCCCTTAAGACTTGTGTCGTTGTTATTGTTATACCTTGGACATCACGGGATATGTTCTTTTTCTCTTTAATACAATTACAAAAAACTGATAACTGATTGCAATTTGCGGTTTCGTACACCCCCCCCCCCTTTGGAAAATCATGGATCTGCCCCTGGCCATAAAATGATGTCGCATGATGCCGTGAAACAAAGAATCGTCGGGAATCCATTTCTAATGTATATCCGAAAAGGCAAATAAACTTATCCTTATAAATGTTTGCTATGGGAACAATCAGGACAACTTATTCAAGATGATCTGGTTCTCATATTTGAGGTTAAATGAAGCATATCTTCTTCTTCTTTACATTGATAGGTGATTAACGGATAACGATTAACGATTAAAAACAGAAACAAGATTAACTTTAAAGGATTGTTTGATAATTGCCTTTTCAAACCTATAATATCTTTATTTTGACACTAATGGGTGATTAACGATAAATTATTCAAATAAAAACAGGATGGACTGTAAAGCAAATAAATTTCAGAGTTTCTGCTCTTGACAAGTCCCGTTGTATAATTCTTGAAGCAATCACTAATCTGTCATTGATACCTTAAAATGGCAACACTGCATTTCAGCAATGGACACCTTAAAGACAAGATTAAAAATGATATAGAAATGCGAAATGATTATGTTTATCTTGTGGATTTTAAGGCAGTTCACTACAAAAGTTGTTTCCTCAAAACTTATGACCTCTGGAAATCAAGATTTGATAGGAATCTAAGACAAAGATGAATATAATGGTAATTCTGATCAGGACCTGGATCTAAATTACTCACTTCATTTATCTCTCTTTTGGGAGGATAAAAGACCACTGATAGGGCTTAGTATTGTGGTATAACAACAAAAATAAAAACAGATCTGATCAACTGCTTTTGGATGAAACACAGCAGCATAATATTCTCATATCCGGAAAATTTTAACCGGAAATATAGATTTTGATTACAGTCTGATTACATAAAATAATGAAGGGGATTTTGTTTTGTTTCATTGGTAGGCAGTAAAGTCATCTGACTGATATACAGTGTTGGTCATAAAGGTGGAAAAAAATTGGTTACCCCAACTTATGGAATGATTTTGAAAATAATTTATTCCTAATAGATCTAGATTATAGTAAACATCCTCAGATTTTATTGAATAATAATTTGCGAGTGTTTGTTTTGCGTGACTGCAAAAGCATGTGTAGCCTACTATGCTTATCAACTGGGGGACCTACGTCCTTAAGTCATAACTGACAGCAATGAGGATTAATGCCTCACAAAAGGGCACTAAACTGGCACATCGACACATGTGGCCATGCCATGAACCATATTGGATGGCCGTACGTTCTTCTGGGGACCGGGGGAAATGCAATGAATTATTGATAATTTATTGCATTTTCTTTTCTTTTTTTTTATTTGTGGTGGCGGCTTCCTACCCTAGCCCCCGTTGCGTACAGTCATGATTCAGTGGCAAAGCAATGGCTTCATAACTGTGAGGCCCCAGGATCAAAACCGTGTCGATGTGCTATATTAGTGCCCTTTTGTGAGGCATTAATCCTCATTACTGTCAGTTATGACTTAAAGACGTAGGTCCCCTAGTTGATAAGCATAGTAGCATACACATGCTTTAGCAGTAACGCAAAACAAAAACTCGCAAATTATTATTCAATAAAATCTGAGAATGTATACCATTATCTAGATCTATTAGGAATAAATCGTTGTCAAAACCATTGCATAAATTGGGGTAACAAAAAATTATCCCATCTTATGACCAACAGTGTATATTTCATTTAAAGGTATTACAAAGTTTTGGGAAATGTTGAAAAATGGGTGGATAGTGATTCTTAACAATTTTGATAAATTTGGATGCCCCTGTGGATGTATTAAAAACACCAGAATTGTAGCCCCTTAAACAATTCTGCTATCGAGAAAAATTGAATATAAAGATTTACGGTGCTCCCGGTAAATTTTGATAAATTTCAAATAGCTCCTACGCCGTATAATGGTAGCTGCGACCATGAAAATCTCAGAGTATGTAGTTGTGGTACATTATTTCCGAACGAGAATAGCTAATCGGTCGATTTTAGTCAATAAACATTGTTTTTATAGCTTAATTAATATCTTGACCTTGAGAGGGAGCTATTCAACATAAAATGTTTATTATTTACAATTTCATAGCTTTAGAGTCGATTTCGACCGCGACAACGATCACTGAATATTGTAGGATCGCATATGCTTCCAATATGTTCATTTGAACCAAATTCATGACCCCATACCAAAACTTTGTATTACCTTTAAAACACCATGACAAGACATTTCAGACAATACAGGCCCACATTTATTTTGTAAGAGTTAATTGGTCCTTTTTTATACTAGGCGCTTAAAGATTAATTTCTTCTTCACTAAACCCATGTTCTCATTACTTTATTGATCAATCTGTTTGAATCCTTAAAATGATCAACAAAGTTCTTAGAAGATATAAATTTTATCTATCAAGAATAAACCATACTGTAACAATTATTTCATGTATTTGTTTTAAGAAATCGTACCAACATAATGGGCAACAGTGTATGTTGTAATGGAAGGAATCACAACTGTTATTATTTTCACGGGTTTTCCCTGTACTGGTCTGCCTTTGATTGCTTTTGCTTCCTCATGTTACCCGTATATAATAACTTAGATCGAATGGATTCACGGAACAGGAATATCGAAATTAAAAAAAGAAATATCTAACCAAATTTGATCATCATTAATTTTTGTGCAGACATACTTTCATGATTGCAGTACACGGTCTTATCGTCATATTCTGGAATAAACATGTATATTGACACATTTTCATATTCTTTGATTATTTTGATTATAATACTTTGATTAATGTATGCCTATAATGTGTTTACATTATCAGTACAAATAAGAAGCTATCACAATTTTAAAAATAAAACAAACATACCTTTAGAGCAACAATGTACTGGCCTGGCACCCGATCATTATCTGACTTCTGAAACAACTTCTCCCACTTTGGTCTCGCTTCCACTGTAAAACCCAACAGGACCAGGATTAGGATCTGACGAATCATGTTGACTCCAAGACCAGATTATCGTTAAAGTACTATACCTAAATATTTAGCCTCTCTCTGATTCAACAGGGAAGCTAAAAATGTAGTCCGCACTGAAGTCAAGAATGTATCAATATGATCCAGGCAAATGTTAAATACCCACGTGATGAACGAATCGAAACAGAGGAATTGTTTGCAGTCGTGTAGCGTATCTACGAAAACCGATTAGAAGGGGGCTTCTGTGGATGGTGGGGGCGGTTAGAACACTAATTCCTGGAGTTGATTATGTTGTGAGCGATGTCGAGCAGAAAAACAAGCGACATAATGATTGAGTCCCCCAACATCCCCAAATATGAGGTAATGAACGCAGATCGGAGCATACCCGGCGGGAGCTGAGTGGGCTGCAACCCTCATCCCCTCCCTCCCCCAACAAATCTTAATGTGAAATTTGGGCAGCTGCCATCTATGGGCAATGATGTGGGTATTTTTATTTTCATGTCTTATTTTGTATACATGATGACATGAAATTACATTGCCACTGATATAAATGGTCAAAAACTTTTTTTTTTTACGAGAAAGTTCGTGACTAAATACGGCAGCTTGTCAGCAGGAACAATTCCTCTGTAGGGCCATGCATTATGATTAAGGCATACCCACATAGAAGATTTTTTTAATGTTGGGGGTCGGGGCAAAATGCAATGAATTATTGAAAATTTATTGCATTTTATTTGTTTTTTTCGTTTTTGTGGGGGCGTTGACGTACCCTAGCGCCCGCTGCGCACCGTCAGGTTCAAGGAATAGAAATGTCATTTTATAAATTGAAATAATCAAAATTGAAACTACTTTTGCGTAGTCTGCCAGATCAGGCATTAATAAGAATTAAATCAGTGATGTGAAAGACTAGTCGACACACCCTTTCGAGAAAAGACCCCCTCTTTTCTCGAAAGGGTGTGCTAAGACGGTCCTCCGTTCTCAACGCACCCTTTCGAGAAAAGCGGGGGCCTTTTATGAATGGGTGCGTTGAACTCACCACACCGCGCCGCACCGCACCGCACCCTTTCGATGAAAGCCAAGGATGAGGATAATCTCGATTCGTACAAACACCATTAACTATTGACTATTTACTATTAGCCATCGGCCTTGCTGATCTGCCGTGTGTCTGTATATATTTACATCCTGTGAACTTTGATCTTGTCGTCCTGAATTCCAGTAGTTTTCATTTCATATTATCGCTGTCCTTATCTCTCTCTCTCTCTCCCCCCCCCCCTCTCTCTCTCTCTCTCTCTTCTCTTTCTCTCTCTCTCTCTCTCTCTCTCTTTATTTTTGTAAAGATTTGGGGTCTGTGTAATTGTACTCAGTCGTCTTGTTGTCTGTCCCTATAATATGTTGCCCACTAGCGTACTGGTGGTGGGGCATGACTTATTTTCAATTACAAACAAGTGATTTATAAATATTCGTGATATCACATGATTTTCAAGAAAATGCGCGTTTCTCCATTTCTGTTGCAAACTGACACATTCCCAAATAGCCAGGAAGAGCATATGTTTTTTTATAGTCACTAATGGGCCTTAGGGCCACTAACATTAACACTAGTAAATAACCGTATATCCAGTTTAGCGAAAAATCTGGATACCCGTATGTCCGGCCTAGAGAAGAGCTTAAAGAGAAGATCGCGGCCCGGCCCCCCCCCCCCCCCCCCCCCCCCCACTCAGGTTTCAAAATGACCGCATGCGTGTTGCCAAAATGTCCTTTTCGTAACAAAAGAAAAAGGTCGAGCCGTATTGACTTTACACACCGGACTTTTGCTGAAAAGGGGGGGATGCTGAAAAAGGCTCGTATACAAAAGAAAAAGGTCGAGCCGTATTGACTTTACACACCGGACTTTTGCTGAAAAGGGGGGGTCGGTTGGAACACGCATATGCGTACCCTAAATAACACTGAGTGGGGGGGGGCCGGGGATCGCGGCAGCTCTAGGCTGCCGGCGTACGCGAGGGAATGCGCAGTCGCCTGCGCACAGGGTTTGCTTTGGATGTGGCGAGGAGGGTCATTTCCTGAGGGAATGTTTCACAGGCGCGGATCCAGATGGGCGAGCGGGTCTTGCCCCCCCCCCCCCCCCCCCGGCAAAGAAAAAGAAAAAAGAGAGAAAAGGAAGGAAAAGAAGGAAAAGGGAAAGAGGAGATAAAGGGAAAGAAAGAGGAAGAAGAAAAGAAAATGGGGGAAAGGGCCTTGCCTCCCAGGCTGTTCCCCCCCCCCCCCCTCATCAAAAAAATAAGAGAGAAGGAAGGAAACGGAAAGAAAAAAGGAAAAGAGGAGATAAAGGGAAGGAAAAAAGAGGAAGAAGAAAAGAAGGGGGATATCAGTTGCAATTTTCCCGCCAACAAGCTGGGATTGGGGGGGGCCAAAAGGCCCTTGTCGCTCCCCCCCCCCCCCCCCCCGCCCCCGCCAAAAAAAAATGGAGAAGGGAAAGGGAAAGAGGAGGGCTAAAAGGGAACAAAAAAGGAGGAACAAAAAAAGAAAAGGGTGAAAAGAAGGGGAGATCAGTTGCGATTAATTCCGCTAACAACATATGGATCGGGGGGCCGAAAGTCCCTTACCTGCCTGTGTCACAAAATAATAAGATATCAAAATATGCTCATCTGACCGTAATTAAACGCGTAAAACCCCTGATCCTCCAGGGCTCTGCCCCCTCGACCCCACCAGGGGTCCTAAGGCGGCCCCTAAATGCTCAATGACCGTAATAAAATGCCTCAAATCCCTGAGTTTCAGGGGTTCAGCCCCCTGGACCACACGCCAATAAGTGACCTGCCAGTGTCATGAATAAGGTATCAAAATATGCTCATCTGACCGTAATTAAATGCCCATACCCCCTGAGCTTCTGGTGACTCTGCCCCTTGACCCCCTCCGGGGCTTTGCCCCTAGACCCCACGCCAATTTACACTACGCTCTACCTGATCGTAAATACGTTCAAAAAAAAAAAAAACGTTCAACTGGGCCTGCATGTAAGAGTGGGGTGATGCGGATTGTCTGTCAGCCCCCCCCCCCCCCCCAAAAAAAAAAAAAACAACTTATTTGCTCATTACGCCACTGATATTGCCCTATATATTTGCGAAGAAAAAAACAGTTGTGACATAATGACACAACTGAGTAGGGAAATCCGTCTATTAAATGCAATGCCTGTTATTGGTTTAATCAGAGCCATCTATACACATATACACATACACATCGATGTGTATAGATGGCTCTGGGTTTAATAAATAAATGGCGCCATCTATTGAAATGAGCGATCATGAAAATGACTTAGAACATAATCCGAGTTTGATATCTCTCATTGTGTAATGAAGTAGGCCTGCCTCGAGTTGATTTCTTAAAAGTCTTTGCAATCGTGGTAAAGCCGAATCCAGGGCTTCCATTGAGAAAAGGGATATAAAGAACATGCTGTGGAAAGAGTCGGTTAAAATCATCTATGGATAATAAATTATTCAACCATGAATGCCAAACTATTGATTTGCTGCATTTAACAGTGTAATACGACCATATAGACTTCTGATCTTGCGGCTGAAAATCCATGTAATGGATGCTTTAATTTTCAACAATTAATATCATTGTTGTTATTATTATTGTGCAGGAGGGATTGTTGCTGAGGATTCCTTCGTAAAAAAACGCTTATGACACTGACGCCACGCATTTTAAAGTGACCAAGCATTAACTACGGAGCCCGCGATAAAGAGAGGCTGAGTGGGCACGAGCACCCCCCCCCCTCCCTTCCCGCTCTGCTGTTCAGACTTAACGAATCGATGCCAATGGACCCCACTTTCTTGGACTCTACGCTCACGTTGGTCTTAATGAGCACCCCTACTCCTAGAATAGTTTCATGATGCCTGGACATCAATATACTACTCCATACCATTAATATCATCTTGTGTATTATGAGAATATCGAAATGAATCTTGTGGATGAAACGGAGGAGGTGGATGAAAAACATCTAAAGGTGATTATTATTGGAGATAGTCTCGTCGGGAAGAGCTCGTTTGTTGAAAGTTTTATCAATGGCAAGTTTAGACGCACTACAACTGGTGGTAAGTTTCCAGTAAGTTTCACATGCAGTTAAATGCAACCAAGAACACATTCAAATACAATCTCAAGATTCTGTCTCCCGGTTTTTATCAAGCATAATTATTTCATGCTCCAAAAGTAGTTGATGTAACACGCTAACACTTCCTTTATTTTAAACTCTGATATGTTTCTTGAAGTGCCTGTACATGAGGCTACCAAAGCGAAGGAGAAACTAGAAAGAGAACTCAGCTGGTATTTTCTATAAATCTATCACACTTTATTTATCGATGCAACTTCTTTATCTGGTAACAGTAACGATAAGAAAGTTAAACAAATACTTGACCGCATAATTCATGCACAGTTGTTAATCGATAGAGGGCACCCTCCTAAGGAAATCATCAGAGCAAAGATGACACTGGCAATAACATATCTAGGGACTTTAGAAATCAGTTGATACATAATTACGACCCCCATTTCTCAGATAAAGTTACTACATTTAAAATGTGTTTTAAAGATATCCTCATTTGTATTTATATTCTGGTTTGTCACAGACTTTTGAAAGACACCGCGGACAGTGAGTTCAAAGACCTCAATGAGATCCACTTCGCTTTACTCAGAAAGACGACTCCCATTGCAAACGTGAACATTACCGAGAAGTTTCTAGGTGACGATAGCACGTATAAAGTCAAGACTTTGAACACATGGCCACATGAGGAACACGTCAGCATCCACCACGCAAAGACAGTTTTGCTCGACGCCCTGTCTGCGATGAAGGCATTACATTCGATGGATATCCTTCATAACGACATCAAAGGTGATAACGTGATCGTCAAACAATCCGATCACGACTTATTCAGCGGGTACCTCATCGATCTGGGCAACGCGTCGACGACATTCCTCTCTGCTATCTACGATTTCGGACAGACGGAGAGAGATTATTACGACGATGATCCATTGTCGATTCATTACGCGCCAGAACTGATTTTTGATAATGCCGCCACGACTCGAGCGAGCGATGTGTATCAGATTGGACAGCTTATTTACATCATGGGAAATGATATGGGAAATGAAGATCTGAGAGATATTGGAGAGAGATGTCTCTATCGAGAACCTTTGTCACGTATTAAGCTACTGGACCTCATTGAATTCGTGTCTCAGTTATGACCATAATAGTTAAGAGCTTATGGTAAACAAGTTATAATAACATGAATAAAGATGGACAAAATCACATCATTTGAAATGTGGGTGTACAGGAGAATGATAAGATTAGCATGGAAAGATCGGAGAACTAGCAAAGAACTATGGCATGGTTTAACAAACTATCCTGATAGGACTATTTAAAGAAAGGAAGGCAAAATCAAAAGACATCTGAATCTATTCAAAGATTTATTGGAGATTTATATAAAGGAGACGGTACTAGACCAAGAGGGAAACCAAGAACCAACTGTGAGGAGAACATAAAGACATGGAATGGAATAACACTGCAGTTAATACTGCACCAGAATGGCAGAGAACAGAGATGTGTCCTCTTTTGCAGAAAGCCGACGAACAACCAGTCACAGGACGACTTATTTGAAAACTGATTCAATCTTTCATTATTTCGATCCGAAGTTTTTCGAACATAACGAGGCTAGATGCAAATAAATCTTCATCTCGTGTGGATGATTATATCTCTAAAGAACACATGTAATGATTCACAAATTCAGATGAAAGTTCATCGAATGTTACATGATTATTAGGCATTAAACAAATCAAGGGTATTGTTGTTGACCTGTCATCTTTGTACACGTTAATCTTGTTGTCTCATTTCGAAAAATCTGTGGAACAAAATGAACCAGTTGTCACTATTATGATTCTTAAACCTCACTCGTTGGGAGTTGACAATGAATGTTATTGTATGAGGTGTATCATATTTTACCCAAAAAAATTGAATTCAAACAATTAATTCTTGAATTTACGAAATTTCCGATATTATTTTCATTTTTAGGATATGGACCATTCTTATCGACTGTGAGGAAATGTTACAGGGATCCTACAAACATGTGAAACAACAATAACATTATTTAGTAGGACTAAATTGATTGCAATTTATCCGTCAATAGCCTGTAATCGAGAATGGAAAAAACGCCGTTTTGTAACTTTAATGTACTTGCAAATCCTATGTTATATTAGGCTTTGCATGGAAATATTTGTGTATGACAAGAGGAGTCCATTATGTTTTATATTACGTGAGATACATTTAGATCAGTATTGGACCATATTCACTGCCCTTCCTTATTCTATTCATATATCTACGCAAGCACAGATGGGTCAGATTTTTGTTTACAATTTTTGATCCTTTTATTCCTTTAGTTGTGAGAGTACAAGACAGCTGCAAGAAAATAATATATAACTATTTATCACGATATAAAGTTTGAGTTTGCTTGTAAAATTACTTTGTCAAGAAGAAAAATCCACCACTATATGAAAGCTGTAGCAACTAAAATAAAAAAGAACATCGGAAAGTAAATGACTTAACAAATGTTGCTATGCTATGTTGCTGGGGAACATTATATATAGTGTTAGTCATTTTTATGAAGAAAATATTATTGACTAGTAAAAGTTAACGGAGCTTTACGAGAATATAGCCATGTTACAATGATGATCATGACTCATGACTTTTATTCAATATCAAAGTATAATGTCAATTGACTATTATAAAAACACGGTTATGCGAAATAAGCGCAATCAAGATGATTATCATTGAGTTTAAGCCGATTCTTGAAATCGATCTTCATTGAGACTAAATAAAAGCAAAATGTCTTTGAATACTTTTTATAATGTTTGGTATGAAAAAACTGTTGAAATTTAGAAGATTTTTCTTAATAGATTTTGTATTATATAAATCTGAATGAGATAACTGTATGAGGACGCTGAGCAAGATATTGCATGGCTGTATGTATCGTGTGATGAGGTAACAAGAAGATGGGAGGGGAGAAGGAAGACAGAGAGAGAAGGAGATGGGAAAAGAGAAGGGGAGAAAGAGAGGGGAAGGGAGAGAAGTAGACCAAGACATGGGGGAGGGAGAGAGAGAGAGAGAGAGAGAGAGGGGGAAAAAAAAGACATATAGAGGGTGGAGACTTTCTTAGCGAATTTCCATCTCCCACCCCCCTCCCCCCCCCCCCCCCCAAAAAAAAAAGGATGATGAATGTAATTTTATTAAATTATGTACTTTACATAACACGGGAAGCTACCTTCAAAATCAATTCGGTACTTTTGTAACTAAATGTCTTTCTTTTTTTCTTTCTTTCTTTTCTTTTGGTGAGAAAAAGGGAAAAGGCTTTATTTATTTCTCGCTGATTTTCATAAGTACAAATTGTTTCAGCACTGCCATCGGCCTTTATCTTTCTTCAAGAAATAATATTGAATATCACTCTTTTCTTCTTGAAATAATTATAACCTGACCGCTTCATATACTTTATAGAGCATTTTCAATTCAAATGTAAATATTTCCTCTGGGATAATAAGATTTTGAAGAAGCTTTGTAAATCAATATTGATGAATATAAGATGGTCTTCCCCAGTCGTTGGTGGTGTCTTCCAATCGGATCAGTAGTGGTCGATATGTGAGGCCACAATGACTTAGCTCCGGTCACTTATTACCCTTCATTACTGGAAGCTGGTTTTCTTCGTTTTACGTGCTAAAACTAATACGAAAGGACGTATAGGGTGGATATGTTTATACAGACCATATTGAGTGAGTATTATACTTGATTAATGTCGAATTTGTCGATGGTTTGAAAAAAATGTCATATACGCGAAATCAAAGGATCTGTCATTTTCCGTTTAGAGTCGTGTCATAAAGGATGTCACGAACGGAACATAGGGGTATATAATTATGATAGGGGTGACAGATAATCATACGTTGCATTTAAAATTGTTTCTGCATCGAGAGTTCATATAGGCTTTTTCTGAAGTCAGAAATTACTTCTGATTATTGACTTCCAAAAAACGAGAGCATGAATATATTCTATCAAAATACGGTCATGTTCTTTTTCATGACTGTGGAAAACTGGCCTAAAAAATAAAATTATATAATTCATAATTAATCCAAAGATAACAAGTCACGAAATAGATAATTACATTTTATTATATATCATCATATCTCATTTATTACAACTTTATTATTTGAATGGGTATATTCTTTAAAATTATGTGTGATTATTATGTAATAAAACACACGTGCATACCGTGTATATATATATATACCAATGGTCGGTACAGGAGCTTCGCTCATTACTATTGATTTTAGTCCGTCTCCACGTTCCAGTAGGTCCTTATTCAGAATGGGCTTTAATCAATATCTAATTGTTTGGGGTTTTTACTTCACCCTGTGCATCTCTACATGTCTTTCACACTAGGGCCGTCGCATGCTCTTTCTTGAATCATTTCATGGGGTTTACTATGACTCCTAGGACGCGGAATGTGGCTTTTTCAATCAATATTATATCCACGAACTTTTCAGAGCTACTTGCGGGAGGGGGATTGGGGAAAAGTATGACTTCAGCATATTCCGAGGCATATCCAAACCTCTTATTACAATATAGCAGAATTCCTTGGGGCGGGGGCTTGTGCCCCCCGTGCCCCAGCTCCCCCGATCTGCCACTGCTATAATGCACAAATTATAATCATAAGTTCTGAGACGAAAACTTCTTGAAATTATTGGGATCGGGAACATAAGCTGGCTGAGAGAGTCGTAACAGTATCCAGTCAATACTGCATAATAGAATCATCAACTAAGAAAAATAAAGGTTGCACTCGAATAAACAATGCCTGTTTCGTCGTGATATTGTGTCTAGTTATCAAAAGTGATGATGATGATAATGACGAGAAAGTTTGGAAGGGACGACTCAATTCGCAATCGCTTGAAAACTAAATGATTTGCTGAAGTTGTATTTAGCCATTACGAATTATTGTAGGATCCTTGAGCTGTAAAATAACCGTTAACTTCTTGCCAACTTTAATAAATTTAACTCATTAATATCATTTGCTTCACCCGCAGACAATGTGCGAGATTCCATACGCATTTGAAGCCATCTTTTGTTGATGTACAAGCTACGTGAAGCTGAATCAGTCAACGCATCAACATGATGAAGCTTATGTACCAGCGAACACTGCTGAAGACAGTCACAGCGGTCCTATTCGTCATTGCCTGTCGTTTGGTCATGAGGGGTTATTCTGAGCAGAAAAAAATTCCCACCACCTCCAGAACATTGAAAATAGATTGGATGCCGACGCGCGAGAAAGAGCTCCATTTGAGACTGGAAAAGTTCAGATTTCACACGTGGAGAAGAAATATTACGAGCATATTCCTCAATTGGAGAATCTCAAGCTCAGTTCCGATGTCCTGAAAACGGAGAGAACTAATCGCGAGATTGAGTCGGAAATGGAAAGTGGTGGTCAATGGCTGGTTGAGACTTTGATAAATATGAAGCACAAGGTTTCCTTGCAGGAGAATAGACTCTTGAGTAAAATACACAAATCAGCAATCGACAGACAAAACAACAGCAATACCAGTCCAGACATTTGTGTAATCAAAGTTCTTCAATTGTGTAAGACGATGTGTGTACGGATGATCACAGAAGCTAACAAACGATGGACGAAATTTTCCTGTAAATTCTCGAACTGTCGATTTGAAACCAAGGTCGGATACTCGTTGAAAGACATTCAAGAGAGTGATGTGGTATTCATCCTGCCGGACTCAAGGGATTGGAAAGCTATCATTGAAAGCCGACCGAAAGGACAACTCTGGGTTTTCCACTCCAAGGAAGCACCGTTCCACGGCCCGGAACAGTCTCCCCCTCGCGAATTTGGGAATCCATTCAATATTTCCCTCACCTTCATGACCAGTTCGGATATTGGTCCAGCGTATCACTACTTTGACACAAGAAACCCAGAGCAAAACCCTAAGGTTCTACGTAAGACAAAACTGATGTCTTGGGCGTCATCCAACTGCAACCACACCAGCTGGGGGAGGACACGCTTCGTTCACGAGCTCGAGAAGCATCTTGACATCGACACGTACGGTCTATGCGGACGCCTCGAGTGTCCTCGCTTTTCAGAGGGTTGTTGGTCCTTTCGTGCGGATTACAAGTTCAACCTTGCCTTAGAGAATAGTCAATGTCCTGAGTACATCACGGAGAAGTTCTGGTACAACGCTCTTGATGCAGGCTCCGTCCCAATCGTATTCGGCCCACCGAGAGAAGACTACGAGCGTCTCGCTCCGCCTCATTCTTTCATCCACGTGGACGACTTCAAGACGGTCCAGGAGTTTACTGACTATATCCATCTCTTGGATCGTAACGATGACTTATACCTCGAATATTTCGCATGGCGGAGGCTTGGCCGAGTGGAGAAGTCTTCGCCAATTCTGACAACGCGTATCCAGACTGGAAGGAGGTTGTGCTACATCATCATGACGTTGCTCAAGAAGTCTTTGAGTCCAGATGAGTACCCTTGGAAGGACCAGCATCCGAACTTCCACGACTGGTGGCATGGATTGTGTCCGAAGGATTCTCAGAAGAGGCGCATCATGGATATAGATGTTTAATCATGGAAACAAGACTTGCTTCAAAATATTTTTGTCGTCTGATTTGAAGGGAGGTGAACTGACATTTGGAGTGACCTCCCTGAAAATATATTAAAGAAACTCATAAAAAACATTTTGTATTTCCTAGTGGGGAAGTCACCCAATTTTCCAAATGGAACCGTTTTTAAACTCTTTTTGGAATTATAGTCATATTTCTTCCTTCTGAAACCTTTGGATCGATTGCCTTTAGCGGAGTTTGGTAACTAATCCCAGGGTGATTTTCCCTAGATTGTTCGTTTTGTTGCAATGTGCAGCCATATTACTTTATATCATTTTGAAAAAAGTGGGGTAGATTCGATGAAAATCGACCCGTATGGGCGTCGGGTTTGTGTGGTTAGAGGGGTTAACTCGGCGACCGCGGTTGTGCTGACAACAGTATGTAAATTAATTAAATATGTAAGTAATTTTTAGGGCTCGGTGGGTTGAATCTCTTAAGAAACGTTCCTAGACTAAATAAAAATTAATAACATGCAAAGAAAAACTTGAAGAAACAGATATAATGTAATTGGTAATGTCTGCTTCGGTCTAATAAATGGTACCATATTTCTTTTTGAAAACATAATGAATTGTGTACCTGTCGAGTTGTTGCCATTGTTCCCTCTACCCTCTCTCTCTCTCTCTCTCCCTCTCTTCTGTTAATATTATCAATCTGCATATCATATTATGTATCTCTCTCTCTCTCTCTCTCTATCTCTCTCTCTCTCTCTCTCCCTCTCTCTCTCTCTCACTCTCTATCTATATACCTCCTTCTTCGTCTCTGTCTTCTCCTTCTTTTTCATCGTCTCCGTCATCTCCGTCTTCTTCTTCTTCTTCATCGTCCTGGTCGTTGTCGTCTTCTTCGTCTCTTTCTTCTTCTTCGTCTTATTCTTCGCTATTTCAATATCTGTCGTGTCTTCCCCTCTCCCTCTATCTTTCTATTTGACTCTCTTTCTCTCCGATCTCTATTTATTTCCACTCTCATTTCATACAATCTTAAATATAACTACGATCAGGACAATGGCATTTTTATCACTTTTGTGTGTAGATCTTTAAAAGCATCTCTTTTTATGAACAGATTACTGTGTGTAAAAAAAAATACAATGTAGTTCAAATTTGAAGACCTATTATTTGTTATTGTCCATTTGAAATGATGAAGAAACGAGTATAAGAATGCAAAACAGCTTCCATTATGTAGGTATGATGACTTTCATCAAATAGATAGATGTGGAACATTGATACAACCCCGCGTGTGACATAATGAAACAATTTCTTTGTTCAATAAATCGAGATCCACTAGGCATGCAAAGAAAGGTACAAAGTTACCATGCAATTTTGATATCAATATTAGGAGCCTTTGTTACGACAGTTCGCGATAATATCAGCCTACATTTTTATAACAGAATACTTATAATTATATAACATACAAGTTTATCTCACATGTTTTTTATTATTTATGTGAAACACCTCAAGATTTGCCAGATTAGAAAGTTATATCTCCTTCTCATTCCCTTCCAGTGCGTACGAACAAGTTGTGGTGTACATTACTATTGATATCGATGTTATCACGAGAACTATTTAGGAAAAAACGGCGGAAAAGATGTGCCTATAGTATTTCTGATCTAAAAATTTATCTTAATATCGTGTACTATGATTGCACTATAAGTAGGCCTATGTGCATTACACACTCATAAACTCTGTAAAACTTTCAGCGATTTGTTTCATCAGGCACTACGTAACAATTCTTCATCAGTGTTATCATCATTGGTGTAGCGCTTAGCGCATGCGCAAATCAATTCAGGGTATGTAAAGCAGCAAGTTTGGTGACCCAGACTTGGGGTCAGAAACTATATCCGGTGTTGCGTCGTTCACGATCTTCTGTTTGAGAGCATCTGGAGCGAGGCTGTTGTCGTTTCCAAGTGCTATGACGGCCGCTCCTAAAAAGAACAAACAAAAACAGAAGTAGGCAACTATTTGCTGAAAGACAATGTTACATTACTTGTACGGACAGAGAATAAAGGCTTGTTCAGATATGGATATGATAATTTCCTTGATGAAGTCTTGCTTTTAATTTCATAATTACGTATGTGTATGGTGAAATGTCGGTCATATAATTCTCGGAATGGCATGTGAGGGTTCAGATGCTTACGGGCAACAGGTGGCAATGTTGCTTTTGTGAATCATAACCCACATGCCATTTCTTATATTACTCAGGTTCTCATATCACACCCTGTACTTTGTATGTACATCTTATTTATTTATTTATTATTTATTTATTTATTTATGATATTTAGACAGGGTGACTCATTATCACCAATAATGGTGGTCTTCCATGAGGCCAAATAAATAATAACAAGAAGACGAAAATAAGAAGAAGAAAAAAGAAAAAATAAGAAGAATGATATTGATAATGATAATATTAGTAATAATAACAATAATTAAAGCAATAATTAAGAACAACAACAACAACAACAAGGAGAAGAAGAACAACAACAACAAGAAGAAGAAGAACAAGAACAAGAAGAAAAAGAAAAAGAGAAAGAAGAAAAAGAAGAAGAAGAAGAAGAAGAAGTAAAAGAAGAAGAAAAAAAAAAAAGAAGAAGAAGAAGAATACAGAAGAGGACAATTTTGTACCTGCTACATGAGGACATGCCATAGAGGTACCGCTGATAGTGTTGGTAGCGGTAGGTCCACCGTACCAAGTACTGGTGATGTCTACTCCAGGAGCATAGATATCAAGACAAGTGCCGTAGTTGGAGAAGTAAGCTCGTGCATCTTGCATGTCCGTGGCACCCACAGTCATAGCCTGGAAAGGTATCATTTTTAAGATGATGACAATGGTGATGATTATTATTATTATTTATTCGGCAAAAACAAAGAAAATCATTGAATACAAAACAAGAGTACATTTGGAAAAAAGTCACATTGATGCCGGGAAAAGAAAAATATTAACTAAATAACTGTAACCAGAAGGTCTTCTTTATGATGATAGTAACAAGAACAATAACAACAACGACAATCGTAATAATCATAATAATAATAATAATAAAATGGTAATAGTAAAAATAATAATAATAACAATAATAACCAAAGCCTCGGCAGTATCAATGTTGTTCTTCCTGTGGAAACTGCAATCATTTACACCTTGGCGGAGAGTGCCAAACGTGGATTATGTCTTACCGCAGGACGTTAGTGCCGGACGTTGATTCCAACCCTCAACCCTAAGATTGAGAGTCAACTGAATCCACCACTATGTCACGTCAACTCATATTAAAACAATTAGGAAAAATTGATAATGTATCCATAAGAATCGATGTATACTCTTAAGGTTTGGATTCTAAATGAAAGGAAGTTAACACAGTCTTGCTAAAGATCACAATCACTGCATACAGAAATGGGGATACGGGACTACACACAAATGATTGGTCCAAACTTTTCACCGTTTCGTGTCGTAATTCAAATATGAGGGCATTATAAGAGCAATCCTTTTCAAGAGACATTTCTACTCCGATGATCTTCCAAGATGACATACATGTATAAAGAATTAGAAATCTCGAGAATTAAACCTTCCTTTTACGCACTTGACCGTTTTCCAAACCCTTCGACACGTTTAGAAATTTTCTTTTACACCCTCGTATTCAGAGAACATAATGCCCTAGTATTTTGTATGTCTGTGTTTTTACAATTTTAGAAGTAACGGACACAATGAAAACTCCTCCATGCCTATTTACCCCAAGTTACGAATTTTATCCCCAATTTTCAATACATATGGTTAAAATAACAATTCATAACATTCCTTGTTTTTTAAATAAATTAGTGAAACATAACAGCATCTGAGCTGCCGCGAACCAATTTGATCGGTATATTTGGTACTCTCTTTAATACAGGAACGGCTGGTGTGGCTTGCTAGCTGTCAACACTTATATGTTAATACGTGAACTGGCTATTCTTCACAAGTGCACACAAAAATTATGTACATATATTACGTTTAAGATGTGTCAAACTTCTCCCATACCCCCTCCCCCCCCTCCCACCCCCCCCCCCCCCCCCCTTCTCATTAGTAACATTGATAGGAAATCCAGATTTGATGCCCCCATTCTTCTCCACCTTTCTAAAGCCTATTTCGGCAAATTTTAAAAAATAATATTTTCATGACATTTGAACATCACAGGATTTTTTCCAACAAACCTTGCCTGACATTTGTTACACCACCCTCCCACAACCCCCCCCCCCTTTAAAAAAGAGGAGAACTTCTAAAATGTCTACCAACGTTATTAGAAGATATTTACAAGTGGGTTTCTAGCCGGAGAATTCTGGCAGGCTTCATGGTCGTCGTTTCCCGCCGAGACCGCCACCAAGACTCCACTGTTAGTAAGTGACGTCACACCTGCATCCAGGAGTACGGATACCCCGCCTCCGAGAGACATGGACGCCACTGCTGGTTTCCGCGCCCAGGTTTGTACCCAATCAAGACCTTGATAACAACAGAATTCATTAATAACAATGAATGATATTAATAATAATGATAATGAATAATTAAAAATGTTAATCATACATGTATAAGAAAAAAATGATAATGATAATGATAATAATAATAATTTAACATTTGTATACCACTGAATGATACTGTTTCTAAGCGCTGTGGTGATTCCTCGAAAGTCTTTAAAGTCATGCTTGAGAGGGTTTGATTTTTTTTTTTCGTTTCTAATCTTTCAAGGTTTTTTTTGTCAGAGCATTTTTGATTTGGTTTATTGATTTTTCTTCACGGCCTTTTTCCAATGTTGCAATTTAATTACAACATAAATCATGAGGATAAACAAATTTTATCATTAATACATCATCAACATCAAATACTTCCATTGCAACACTAACATAAGATACTAATGAAGAAGGATTGCCACATAAGCTAAGCTAACATAAAAAATACAAAACATGTGTAACTTTGTTTTGTAGAAAAAAGATAACAATGCTGTTGTACGCATTTGTAATTCTAACTTTAAAGAGACAATGTAATCCATGTTAACACGATATATAACCTGACATGAAATCGTTTTATGACATGTTTGACTTGTTTTTTGTGTGTGATTGTTTCCACACTGCTTTCAGACTCTTCTCACACCTTGTATACTGTGTTTCTTCCAGTTGTAGTTCATAATGATCATGATTGTACCGCTAAGTGTCGGAAATGTTTAACTGTTTAAAAAATGTATGATTGTTTAGCTCAAAGCTTATAATTAGAATAAATTATGAATCAAACCAGAACAAAAGAGAGAGAAAATAGTATAAACATACCTTCTAAAACCTGTGATGTAGAGCCAGAGCCCAGACAGTTGAGGACCCGAATTCCGATCAATGATGCGCCTCTAGCTATCCCATAGACATCGGAGCCTATCGTCCCGGAACAGTGGGTACCATGACCGTTACAATCAATTCCTCCCTTGTATAGCAAGGCAATGACAAGTGACATATCTTTTTAAAAGATAAATGACATACATCTCTAAAAGGGATAGTTGAGTTCTTGTTTCAGACCGCAAATGCATTCAAAGTGTATGGTTATTACTCTTATTCTTATTTCTAGTGCTCTCTTAGGACCTAAAATTGCTATGATGGTAATTTTAGACACCAAAATGTGAGAAATTTAGCCAGTTTGATTACACCAATTTAGCTCCACTTTAAAAGAAAATACGATAACCGTTAATTAATTAATTAATTAATATCAACAATACACGGGCCGACTGGTTATGCGTATTATGACAAACACGAAAAGGAAACAAAAGCCAACATCGGCATGGGCTGGAATAAAACGTATAAGGCGCTATCTCGTTTTTTTAACGGCTAGTTCAAATTATCGAATATTTGTGGGGCACCACAAATATTAAAAATCGTTATATTTATGGATATTTCAGTCGTCTCTGAAACGATTTTGATCAAACAAAAACGATTCTGTCGTTTAAATTGTATGTTCTTTCAAATTTGACACTCAGTTTTTCATTATCTCAAAACTATTATGTGCAGCGCCCTCTGCTACAAAACTCAACTATCCCTTTAAACACTGCGTTATCTTCTAAAAATTACTTTCAAGTTGCTTTCCATCTTTTTATTTTCTAAATTGTATCATGTTTCATATTGTAATGTTCGTATTTTTCTGTTGAGAAGGAGTTGGCGTATTATAAATTCTATATTATTAAAATTTTGGCTAAAAAAGATTTCAAGCTTCATTTGGTTAATTTCATTGGTGTATGCATACTTTTCGAAAGTATTCCATGGTAATTTGAAATGCTTGCCCGACAGAGCAACAAAGAATGTATGCGAAGTAGATTTCATCAACATACATCCATTATTCATAGCAGGTGAATGAAATGGTTCGCAACTACAGGGGTTATGGAGAGAATCATGTATAAATTAAAATACAGGTTAAACAGGTTTATTACATTGGGCTTGTAAATGTTGTTACATTTTATTTACATTTTGTCACATTTTTTTTTTTTTTTAAACAACATTGTTGTTACAATTTCGATACATGTATACTGAAAAATGTATCAGCGTTTCAACGCGTCAATATCAAAATCATGCGGGTGAATGCCAATAATTAAAAAAGATGATTAAAGATAAATATTTTTTGTTAAAGAAAAATAAAAATAAAAATAAAAATAAAAATACCGTCGCACCGCCTACAGCATCATACCCCACAGAAGCTCTTCCGTTGAAATAGGTGTTAGATGGATAGATACCCGTGTCTAAGATGTACACATTTACACCGCTTCCGTCACCTTAAGAAAACAATGAATATAGACTATAATACAATATCGTCATCATCAATTTATAATTTTCATTATTTTAACTACGGAGAGGATAGAACAAAGGTACATGACAGAAAGCGATGGAAGTGTATAGCCTACTATTGTTATCATTAACATCATTATTATTATTATTACCGGGTAGTACAGCGAAGCAAACGTGTGACTCAGACTGATCACTTAGCTTGAGAAAGTATACAGGAGAGGATGAAAGCTTGCATAACAAATTTAAAGTAGATATTCATTGATTTAAAAAACTAACTTTATTTCATTATTGCAAAGTTGAAACTTTGATTCGACAAGGTTATCAAAATTCAATGCTTGGAAACATTCGAAGTAATGATTATTATAAATTATAAAACGCTTAAATACAGCCCCGGCATAGCACCTGAAGAGCTCTCCGAACGCTGCAGAGATGTGTGAGATACAGTATAGACATGACTTGCACAAGCAGACGATGTCGCATGACATCTCACACATTTTCAGTGCCTGTGTTTTCATCTTATCTCGAGTTTTTTCTCTTACTTCACTACCGTCAGGCTAAATTTATAATCTATTGCCTCACTCTAAACCCCGCGCATGGTTTTATTTTGATGACAAATGCAGCGATACAAAAATAAAGGAATCTGTCGCTTGTAAACAATATAAGACGCCATTGAATATTCAGCTGCACACACCGCGGTATGTTCGGCGTTTCAAGAGGGAACAAATGCCGTCCTTAATATCATTCCGGGGGTTTTCAATTCGAAAGTCTGGTTTCTTTGATTGTTAATTAACCCCTTTCCTGTGTGTTTACAAGCAAAAGATTTTAGTTATCGGAATCGGGTCATATCCCCTTTTGAATGGTTTGACATGCCATCACATTTATATACACTAAACTCATTATAATTTGACAACTAAAAGCTTTGCAATTATGTTCATTCTTTATGGAATGTCGTCTGCTTGGGCAGTATTGGTCCATATAGTGACGTCATTAAAACATCGTTTCCGGCGAATCTCTCGTATATCCCAGCTGCTATGCAGATGGTTGTATTTGTATTTCCATAAATCACCCGATATGTATTTGACCTAAAACTTGTACGATGGCCATATGTTAGCTTACCAGTTTCTAGTCATACATTAGTTGACATATTTGTGATTTTCTTTGAATTTCACCTTTAAGGTTGGTAGAAGCTTAGAAACTACATTTTATAATTATTATTATTATCATTGTTATTGTTATTGTCATCATTATTGTTGTAGTTGTTGCTGTTATTGTTATTATTATTACCAATATTATTATCATTATCATTATTATTATTGTTGTTGTTATTGTCATTGTTATTATTATTACTATTATTATTATTATTATTATTATTATTTTCTTGATTATTATTGACATCATAAATATTATTACTATTATCAGTACTATTATTACCATGGTTCTCTCTCTCTCTCTCTCTTTCCCCTTCTATACCCTATCTCCTTTTCTCTCACGCTTATGTATATTAAATATTTTCAGCATTTCAAAACTGATTCATTTCGAAATGTAGAAACAAGTTTTGATGCAAACAAGATATTGAATGTAAGGTCAATTTTGTCAAACCTGTGAAATCCGCCTGTCCATCTAGTGGTAGGTACCTCTGGTCTACCCGGTCCAGCCCCCACGACCCAGGGTAGGCTTGGTGAGCTTGAACGACCCCATTCTCCTCCACCAAAGATACCTCTTCAAGGCTAAGAAGCTTAAGTTTAAAGATTTGACAAATCAGGAGGAGAGGTAAATTAGACTCTAGATTTACTACAGCACAATCATTGTGGAAAGCTATAACCCCCCCCCCCTCTCTCTCTCTCTCTCTCTCTCTCCCCCTCCCTCCCCTCGGCACATGTTCTGTTCTGTGCATTCTTGGATGAAGTATACACAAGCACATACCTTTGATTAATGAATGAATACATGAATGAATAATTTATTTATTTATTTATTTATTTATTTATTTATTCATCATTAATTTATTCATTTATCCATTCAATTCAATTCAATTCAATTCAATTCAATTCATCATTGATTTATTAATTTAATCATCCATTAATACAAAAATTATAAAAAAGATACAGAAAACTTTAAAAGATGATCAAAGGAATTTTTTTTAAATGAAATGACCCTATCCAAAAAAAAATTATAGATCCGCCAGCCGCAGTTGAAGCAATTGGTTTCAATATTATCGCCACATGGAATATTATACTCACTTCTTCTAAGCCCTTTGGGGTGAGTTTGGCGGCGAACCCGTTGATGATACTCTTGTACACGTGGAAGAAGGAACAATTCGCAAACGACGGAGATTTCTGGGTTGAAACCTTAGTCACAAATGCCTCAGCCTTGAACCCAGGCTATTAATCAAAAGAAAAACAAACAACAAAATTTGAAGTCACCATACTTTTGGGCTTTACAAATTCATATCAAGACATAATTGATAAGGGAAATGACGGATATTACACATTTCGACATAACACTTCTTAAACTAAACTAATATCATTTTATAAAGTAGGCTTGAGGTTGCACCATGTGAGAGAGAGGGAGGATTGGGAAGTCCTGAAAAGGACTCTTGATAATAATTTACATCACCATGCAAGCCGATATTTATAAGTAGCATCCAACATCATTTTGAAGGAAAAATAACTTTCAATCATTCCTAGCTTTAGGTTATATCCGTGTTTTTGATATGATATTTATATCGGTATTTAATTTTTCTCTTATTTGAACAACACTCGAGCATAAATTAATGGTGTGTTGGAACGTGCAGAAAATCCACCCTCAGGCTCCCCCACGCCGCTAAATAATATTTTTTTCTCACGAATTACCCCGCCCCCCTCCCCCCCCCCCCCCCCCCCCCCTCGCCACCGGCTGGATCCGCCCCTGGCATGCTGCGTGTAAACTCTTTTTTTGAGAATTCGCTGCCTCTAAATTATGGTGAATTTTGTTTACTATTTGATAAATTTGAATGTCAATAATACCAAATTAAAAAAAAGAACGTTTGTTTGAATCATATGTAACAAATAAACTCTACATTTATATCCTCCATAAATAGCTGTAGACAATAGACTTGTGTCGTTGTAATTGTTATACTTTGGACATCACGGGATATGTCGTAAAAATCCTATATTTTTTCATTTCACTTTTGTTCTTTATCTTTTTTATACAATCACATAAAAACTGATGACGTTATTGCAAATAAAGATCATGCGATAGCAATGTAATCTCCCGACTGCCATAATACGAATTCATATGATGCCATGAAACAAAGCATCATCGAGAATCCATGTCTAATGTATATCCGAAAAAGAAAGTAAACTCACCACCTTAAATGTTTGCTATCGAAACATTGATACTGAAAGATGATCTAGTTCTCACACTTGAGGTGAAAATGAAACCTATAATATCTTTATTTTTTAATGAATGGGTGATTAACAACTAATGATTCAAAACAGAAACAAGATTGACTATAAAGAATTGATTATTAATAGCCTTTTCAAAGTAGAGCAAATGAATTTCAGAGTTTCTACTTTGACAAGTCCCGTTGTATAATCTTTGAAGCAATGATATTAATCTGTCATTAATACGATAAAAGGGCAATGCTGCCTTTCAAAAGCAATGGACAGCTTAAAGGTGAAATTCAAAGAAAATCACAAATATGTCAACTAATGTATCACTAGAAACTGGTAAGCTAACATATGGCCATCGTACAAGTTTTAGGTCAACTACATATCGGGTGATTTATAAAAATATAAATACAACCACCTCCATAGCAGCTGGGATATACGAGAGAATCGCCGGAAAAATAACGATGTTTTAATGACGTCACTATATGGACCAATACTGCCCAAGCAGAGAACATCCCATAGAGAATGAACATAATTGCAAAGCTATTATTTCTCAAATTATAATGAGTTTAGTGTATATAAATATAATGGCATGTCAAACCATTCAATAGGGGATATGACCCGATTCTGATAGCTAAAATCTTTTGCTTGTAAATACACAGGATAGGAGTTAATTAACAATCAAAGAAACCAGACTTTTCAAAATGAAAACCCCCCGGAATGACACTAAGGACGGCATTTGTTCCGTCTTGAAACGCTGAACATACCGCGGTGTGTGCACCTGAAAATACAATGGCGTCTTATTTTGTTTACAAGCGACAGATTCCTTTATTTTTGTATCACTGCATTTGTCAGCAAAATAAAACCATGCGCGGGGTTTAGGGTGAGGCAATAGATTATACATTTAGCCTGACGGTAGTGAAGTAAGAGAAAGAACTCAAGAAAAGATGAAAATACAGGCACTGAAAATGTGTGAGATGTCATGGGACATCGTCTGCTTGTGCAAATCATGTCCATACTGTGATCTCACACATCAGCAGCGTTCGGAGAGCTCTTCAGGTGCTATGCCGGGGCTTTATTTAAGCGTTTTGTAAATTATGATAATCCTTACTTCGAATGTTTCCAAGCATTTAATTATGATAACCTTGTCGAATCAAAGTTTCAACTTTGCAATAATGAAAATAAAGTTAGTTTTTAAAATCAATGAATATCTACTTTAAAGACAAGATTAACAATGATAAGGAAATGCAGAATGATTATGTTTATCTTGTGGATTTTAAGGCAGTTCACTACAAAAGTTGTTTCCTCAAAACTTATGACCTCTGGAAATAAAGATTTGATAGGAATCTAAGACAAAGATTAAGATAATGCATGGTAATTCTGATCAGACCTGGGATCTAAATTATTCACTTCATTTATCTCTCTTTTAGTAAGGATAAAAGACTATTGATTGGGCTTAGTATTGTGGGTTAACAAACACAACAAATCTGATAAACTGATTTTGGATGAAACACAGCAGCAAAAATATTCCATATCCTGCTTATTTTTACCGGAAAACATAGGTTTTGATTACAGTCTTCCTATGAGGTAAATAATGGAGAAAAAAAATCCTTTTTCACATGTGGGCAGCATAGTCATCTGACCTTTATATGTATTTCTTTGAAAACATCATGAAAAGAAATATCAGACAATACTTTAGGTCCAACTTTATGTTGTGCTCTTTTGAAGAGACAAGTAGTTCTTTCTTATACTAGGCGCTTAACGATTAGTTTCTTCGTCACTAAATCCATGTTCTCATAACAATGGCCAACAATGTTCTTTGAAGATATAAACTGTATCTATCGAGGATAAACCATAATGGGACAATCATTTCATGGTGTTTGTTTTTTAAGACAACGGTGTACATGTATGTTGTAATGGAAGGAAACACAACTGTTATTTCATATTCATATTACTTTCACGGATTTTCCCTGTTCTGGTCTGACGTTGATTACTTTTGCTTCCTCATGTTACTCGTATATAATGACTTCGATCGGATGGCTTCTAGCAGTCACGGAACAGGAATGTGGAAATTAGAAATAAAAAAAACTATCCAAACGAATATGATCACCATTTGCGGCAGACATGCTTTCACGATTGCAGTACAGGTCATATAGTCATATTCTGGAATAAGCAATTGGTATGTATATTGACACATTTTCATATTCTTTGATTATAAAGTTTGCCTTATTTGCCTATATTGTATTTGCATTATAAGTACAAATTTCGAATGAGAAAACTGTTGTATATAACGATCTTGAATATGACATTATTACGGTCAAATTGTGTACTATGCATAGAATGGTGCATGAATTGTCGCATTTGAAAGGGATACCAATTACCGACTGTGTGGCACCCCTTCTAAAATAATTGTTTTGATACACGGTCATGTGCCCCGCTGGAAGGAAAATGTGCTTTAATCTGTTGTGCCCCAATAATTTTTCTTAAGGGTCCTGGTCATTCTAGGCCTACTTTAATTGGTTCATCCTTCAAACGGCATCATTCTGATATCTATGTCGGCATGGCACTAAAAATGAAAACAAAAATACCTTTAGAGCAACGATGTACTGGCCTGGCACCCGATCATTATCTGACTTCTTAAACAGCTTCTCCCACTTTGGTCTCGCTTCCACAGTAAGAAGAACCAACAGGGCCAGGACTAGGATCTGACGAATCATGTTGACTCCAAGACCAGATTATCGTTATAGTCCTATACCTAAATATTTAGTATCTCTCTGATACAACACGGAAGCTAAAAAATATAGTTCACAGTGAAGACAAGTGATGTATTATTATTATGATACAGGCAAAGGTTAAATACCCACGTGATGAACAGAACAGAATTTGTTTTGTATCCATGCAAGGCAAAGGTACTATTTGCAGTCGTGTATAACCGTATTTATGAGCAACCAATTAGAAGAGGCGGTTGGAACACTAATTGTTTAAGTTGGTTATGATGTTAGCGATGTCGAGAAGAAAAACAACTGACATAATGATTGAGTCCCAAACATTCTTAAACATGATGCCATCAACGCAGATCAGAGGAATACAAGGTAGGAGCTGAATATGCTGTGTAGAGTGTTAAAGAAATTGCTGCATATTTGTCATGTTTGTTGTCAATATTAGTCCGAGCCCCCCCCCCCCCCCTTCCCATTAATAGTCTAGCGATGCCCCTGATCAAGGTACATTTCCTACAAACTAGACCTTACATAGGATGATGATAATCTAGATTTGTACAAACACCACTTACCATTGACTATTTACGTAGCTGCCTTGTGTATGTATATATTTATTTGCATCCTGTGAACTTTGATCTTGTCGTCCTGAATGCCGGTAGTTTACATTTCATGTTATCTCTCCCCTTCTCTTTCTCTTTCCCTCTCTCTCTCTCTCTCTCTCTCTCCCTCTCTCTCGCTCTCTCTCCCTCTCTCTCTCTCTCTCTCTCTCTCCCACCCTCCCTCCCTCTAGCCTTCCTATAATAATAATAAATCATTCAACCATGAATGCCAAACTATAGAACGATTATAATATACGACCACACTGCAAAAACCAGGGTGTTAAATTTCTAACACCAGCGCGGAATAGAAAAAAACACCCTTGGTGTTAATTTCATGTCCGTTCAACACCAACAGAGTGTCGAAATATTTAATTACAGGTTACAATATTTAATTACAGGTTGATGTTCCGAGTCTTGGTGTTATGGTGTTGAACTTGCGCATGCGCATAAGTTAGTGGATTCGAGCAAAATCTTTGGACGACAGTTGTCATATGATATGACGTCCTATCGTGCATGCGCATGCGCGTGCTAGCAGTCATGAATCTCTTCGGGATATCGTGGTTGTAGAATTTTTAGTCACGTGTCGTTGTCGAGTGGTTTAAGGCGCTTGACTCGGAGATGCGAAGGTCGAGGGTTCGAATCCCGACACGGCACTAATATCCTTTGGCATTATTATTATTATTATCCTATTTCATCAGCGCAATCATGCCGTTAAGTGTGTAAATTTGTTCTGCAGACAGAAAAGTTATAAAAGTGTTACCACTAAATCCAACAGACATCGCAGGATTCTTTGAATTGAGTGTTAAATCATTGGTATTGATTTTAACAAAAAAGTCAGGATTAAATTCTACACACCACTGGTATTGAAAGCAGTAGTGTTGGATTTTGTAACACCAAAACTAGAATTGAACTTTAACACCAAGTTGAAATAATGTTGTTAGATTTAACACCAAAGGCGGAATTACTTCAACACCAAGAGTGGAATTGAATTGTTTAATTCAAAATACCAGCTGGTGTTTTTCCGATATAGATACCGGGATGTTGTTAAAATTAACACCCATGGTGTTAAATTTAACACCCTTGTTTTTGCAGTGCAAATAGACTTCTGATCTTGAAACTGAAAATGCATCGGATGCTTTAATTTTCAAAAATGTTTCATTTTTTTTCTTAATTATTATTCTGCAGGATTCCTTCGTGGAAGACGCTTATGACGCTGACGTAACCAACTACGGGACCCGCGATAAAGAGAGGCTGAGAGGGCACGATCTCCCCCCCCCCCCCCCTCTCCTGCTCAGACTAAACGTATTGATGCCAATGGACCACACTTCGCTCACATTGTTTTTAATGAGCACCCCTACTCCTAGAATAGTTCCATGATGCCTGGACATCACAACTCCATACCATTAATATCATCTTGTGTATTATGACAGTATCGAAATGAATCTTGTGGATGCGACAGAGAGGGTGGATGAAAAACATCTTAAGGTGATTATTATTGGAGACAGTCTCGTCGGGAAGAGCTCGTTTGTTGAAAGTTTTATCAACGGCAAGATTAGACGCACTACAACTGGTGGTAAGTTTCCCAGTAAGTTTCGCAATCAGTCAAATGCAACCAAATCAAATCTAAACTCATTAATTACGACGTGAAACATGTCGTCAATATAAATCAGAAAATGACAATATCAACAATAAGAAACAAAGGGATCTAAAAATATTTTTTTATTTTTTTATATTCTTATTTCATAAACTTGGGGCTTAAAGTAAATCGAAGCTTGATGCACCGAATCGTACATGTTATCATGAAATGTGTCTTTGATAACGATTTTCTAGTTGTCTGAAAGGGATTTTGATCTACATTCTTTCCTTTCACAGTTGACTTTGCTTTCAAGATTGTGAAGTGTCAGGAACAAGTGGTAAAGCTGCAACTGTGGGACATTAACGGTAATCCATGCAAATATATATATATACTTGTCTTAAATGATGAATAGATGTTTCATTAGGCCATATTAAATGTGGGTGTCGAGCCATTTAAAATTTGATGACACAAAATCAGAGTTTTTTCATGTTTGAACAGTGGGAGTAACTAACCACAACAACGATCGCTCTCTATCGAGGCACGATGGTGATTGAAGTCCATGATTTTAATTCGACTCATACATGCTAATTATACATTTCACGAGAATCATATTAGCCAATTTTCCAGTCACGTTGGACGTTTTCATTTTTGTTTCATACCTCATTTAAACATATGATTGTAAGTAGTTAATGTCCATTCGGAAATTTGTTTTTTACTGGATTTAATTTACACATGAATCTACAAAGAGAAATAATAAAAGATAATTACAGTAATGGTTGACAGTTACAATGCCAAATATAGCTATTATCTGGGTAAGATACATGATAATCAATTGGAGGTATTTTAGCAGAATAGCTGCATGAATTCCTACGCCTATTTTGCTTAGTGCTATTTTCACTCCTTTCAAATGTCCAAGAAAAGTTTTCTATCCAGAGTTGAGTCGAATCCATTCATTCAGTGTTATTCATTTATCGTTTGCATCAGGCCAGCTCGAGAGATGCAGCCCAATTAGGAAACTCTACTACAAAGATGCGTCAGCTTGCGTCGTTATATTCGATGTGACGCAATATAAAACATTCGACAGCGCCATCAAATGGCGGAAGAACGTGGAGACGTTATCCAACGTGAGCTCCCTACCTTGCCTACTGCTTGCCAATAAGGTATAATCAACCCATCGTTACGTCACGCTTGTTGCACACGAGGTGTCATTCGATTTGGGTATTACCTGTGCTAATTTCCTGTAAAACGCCGTTAGCCCGTACGTCAGTGATTAAAGGCATTGGGCCCCATTATTCCTCCTGCAAATACTTGTTACTTTGACATGATGCCTCAAAACCGCATCGGTCATTGACGAAGTCTTACGCCAGGCAAATGACGCTTCGTGCGCAAACAGGCCGTTGCGCTATTACTCTCATTGTTTGGAAGATGATTATCTCACTCCCCTGAACATTTTTAATGTTGGCGTTGTGTTGGACAAGTTTGCCGAAAGCGAACAAGGCAAATATTGTCAATTAGCGTAAGTTCGTATTCAAGACTTTTTTTCGGCAACGGTTGTAAGCATAAACAAACTTTCAAGAAATGTTTTTGTTTTGTTAATCAAACGAACATAATGTAAATGCTTTAGATAAAGTCAGCAAACTTCCTCCTATAAGCTTGAGAACTTCCCTTGAATCCGATAACCGGGGTAATAATATATCTGTAAAGCGCTAAGAGACATCGTCAATGCATGAAGCGCTATATAAATGCGGAATATTATTATAACAATCTCCGACATCGACGCCTCTTGTCACGTGGTAGGATACTCAACATATTTGGCACATATTTCAAAATTATACATGTATCTTATGTGATCTTGCAAGTCTCATCCTGCATTCTACTGAAATTGGAAAGATAGACAATTTTGCACCTTTTTGCTCATATCGTCGTTTTTTTTTCTTCTCGTCATCCCTTGTAACATTTTCTCTTTAGGTAGACCTGCAATCACATAGCGTGACCGATGAGGAAATTGAGGAGCGATGTAACCAAAATAATTTCATTGGATGGGGAAAGATTTCAGCTCAAGACAGGACCAACATAGATGAAACTATGCAGTAAGTTTCAGTGAAATTGTAGAATGCGCTTTTCAGAGATAGAGAGAGGGGCGGGGAGACTTGCGAAAGTGGGGGCTAATGTCCATGAGAAGGAACTTGTGAAAAATATACGAGTGTTTAATAGACCGATGACCCACGAGACCGTCCTTCGAAAAAATATACGAGTGTTTGAGATTCCGATGATCCACGAGACCGACCTTCGGAAAAATATACGAGTGTTTAATAGACCGACGACCCACGAGACCTACATTTCATAGGCATCCTGACAATTTCTCTGAGGGATTCGAGACCGACATAATTGGTCTCTTGACATTTCAGTCGGAATCATGAACTGTCGGTCTTTTGGGCTTTTGATCTATTGGGATACCCCCGAACTAGGCAGGTGTGTCGATATCTCACTTGAAAACAAGGTGACGAAATTACTGAGAACTTGTTTCACGGCGGTGGGGGTATATTGTTTTGATATATTAGAATGGAGATCGACCCTATCCCAACATCGCATTTAGACGTTATGGACGGACATTGCTTATTATTGCCCTTAAGGTAAATGTTTAGCCCTTGCACCATTGCGAATCAAAATTTGAACTGATAACAAAGAAGTGGACAATATAAAGAGAAACGGATCGTGGTAGAGTAGTTTATTCACCTGACTCTCAATCGAATGGTTGATGGTTCGATTCCCACCCGGGTCTAACGTTCTTTAGCAAGACGTTAATCCACATTTCCCACTCTCCACCCAGGTGTAAATGGGTACCTGGCAATTGCTGGGGTAATATTGATAATTGTATAGGGTTCACAGAAAGAGCAGTAACACTAATGTGGCTACTCTGGCTATTAAAATAAGACTCAATTTTATACTCCTCTTATTCCTTTATTACAATGTATGGGGAACCACGAGTGATTTAATATCATCTATGTATATGTCTACCTGTTTAAGGAAGGTAATCATCAGTATTTTGTTACATATTAAATGGATAAAACGGGAAGTAAGGTGAGTGAATAAATGGACCAGTTCGGAGTTAGCGTTTAACCTCAAATAACCACTGGGTGTTTTTTAAAACAAAGAAACGTCGCCTTGCACTCTGTACTGTGCAATAGACAGAACTACTGCGGTGATGCGGTGATGCAGAGCTCTATGAATAACTTATGTTTCCCTCTTGAAGAAGAAAACAAAAATCCACCTGTATATTACAGAATGCACTGTTGTGGTAGTAGCTTCATGGTTGATGCATACATGGATGATTACATAATGTTTATAAACACTTGGCGAGTTATTAGGCCCCTTGTCATCAGGGGTGTCGCTAGACCTTTTTCAGTGGGGGGGGGGGGGTTTAGAGGCCAACAATTACCGACAAAACTAGCCACCAATTACCAACAAAATTAAATGTCCCAATATCTACAATTTTAACCCTATGAACCCGGGGCCTATGGACTATATATCGTACTTGCGTATGCGCAAATGGTCTTTAACGTGTTGCCAATTTGAGATATATTTTCTAAATCATTTTCTGGTCACAATAATGTAATTGCATAGCTCAATAATGAAACGATAATATGTGTCTTTTGCATTGTTTTCCTTTTTTTCCATGAACATCAAAATTACATTATTGAAAATAATATGTTTGTCTTTTGTCAACTCAACAGATCAACAAATATTTGTATCTTGAGTAGTCAAATTTATTTATATTATAAATGTAAATTGAATATGTTTGTTAATTTGTTGAAAATCAATAAAATCCCTGTGGAGGGAAAATATGGAAACAAAATTACAATGTATGTTATACATTATTCATGCTATTTAATGTATCCTTTTACTACCAAATCCCAGGTTCTTGGTGGAGAAAGCTTTAATATCGAACGGGCGATTGGACAGTGACGTCGGGATTCTCCTACAAGCTGAGAGCATCAAGTGAATAATACGTGACACTTAAACACACCTGGCTCTGGAATACATCATTACAAATATCAAACTTGCAATAGTGTGATATGATTTACTTAGATAGTATGTCTTATACATATTCGTCTGTATAGCAATGATTCAAAATCCTGTGACAGATGAAGCATCTCTGACTATTGATTTTTTGGGGGGTCAATTCAACTCAATGCCATCAAGTTTATAAAAGTAATCTTATTCGAAATTTCATGATAGGTGACTTGAAATATTACTATTGACAATTTGTTTTTATTTGGTCACTTCCACTCAATGCCATCAAGTTGATAAAAGTAATCTTAGTCGATATTTCATGATAGGTGACTTAAAAATATTACTATTGACTATTTGTTTTTTATTTGGTCAATTCAATCCAATGCCATCAAGTTGATAAAAGTAATCTTAGTCGAAATTTCATGATAGGTGACTTGAAATATTACTATTGACTATTTTTTTTTATTTGGTCAATTCAAGTCAATGCAATCAAGTTGATAGAAGTAATCTTAGTCGAAATTTCATGATAGGTGACTTGAAATATTACTATTGACTATATGTTTTTATTTGGTCAATTCAACTCAATGCGATCAACTTGATAAAAGTAATCTTAGTCATTTTGTTATGATAGGTGACTTAAAATATTACTATTGACTATTTGTTTTTATTTGGTCAATTCGAATCAATGCGATCAAGTTGATAAAGGTTATCGTTCATGATACGTGACTTGAAATATTACGTCTGAAAATTTACGTTTTTAACATATTTATCAGGTCAAGTTATGATCATGTATGATATAAAGAATGTTTAGTTTAGGTAAGCTTTTCAGTGTGATCAGTCTGTTAAATCTATTTGAAAAGAAGCGTCATATGTTGCTGCTTCCTGAACTTTCTTATTGACTGTGAACAAAATATAACTTTATTGATATATATCGCAGATAATTCGATGAAGCCCTGAAGTTACAAAATGAACTTAATTAGTAGTTATTAACTGTTTTGATGCAATTCACCTATAAAATATATGATTGTAGGAGACTGGGTTAGGCTTCAATCAAGACGTATAGGCATATATTTCATTAACATGTCTCTTTCCCTCTTTTCCTCCGCCTGAAGTTCCAAGTAATCGAAATGTGTACATCAGCAATTGAACAGGTGACGCAAAATATTGTAAGGGATTTGACAAAATATTGAATAACGCCACTCTAAATAAATACTCAAGATTGAAGCAGACTGGATTCCAAGAATTATAGTTCATTCAAGAATAACAGGTTAATGGAAAGAACCCCCCCCCCCCCCAGCCAGTGTTATTTAGGGTTCGCATATAATGTTCCCTCCTTTTGAAAACACCACCCCCCCCCCAAAAAAAAAAAAAAAAAAAAAAAATGATATCTTTTTCTTCTTTCATCTTTTAAATCGTTTTATACTCTTATGACCTGAACAATATATTATTATTATTATATTTAAGATCTCATGATTTGTCTTTTGCATCTTTTTGTTATTGAATTATATATATATTATGTATTTATGTATATTTATGTATATTTATGTATAGTTATGTATATTTATGTATAGTTATGTATTATACCATCAACTAATGAGGAGAGCCTCCTACAGAATATCAGTTTCTTTTGGTAATTAGTTGATGGCTTTTTCCTGTTATTGTATTAATAATTGAACTTCGTTTTCTTGTATTCTTCGTTATTGTTATACTCCTTTATGTTTTTTTTTTTTTTAATACATGTAGGTAACCCAGTCAAAATAAATAGATGAATAAAAAAAAATAAAGAACGAGATTGAATAATAAATGGATAGTCAATTAACCCATCAGTAGTTTAAAATAAAAACATCAGCCTTTGATTATAAAACCATATTTAGATTTTCATGAACGCATTGAGCATGTGAGAGAGAAATTGTGAGCGAGAGAGAGTGAGAGAGAGAGAGAAAAGAGAAGAAGAAAGAAAAGATACGAAGGAGGAAGAAAAGTGTATGGGAGAAAGGGAGAAAGAGAAAGAAGTGAAAGAAGAGAGAGAGAGAGAGAGAAAGACTGAAAGAAAGAAGAAAAAAAGAGAGAAAAAAGTCGGAATCAGTGCTGGGCTGACTGTCAGCTTGGGCAACGATATCTGCAACTATATGACTAAATCAAGAGTAATTGAATGTATTTTACTATTAAAGAATACCTATGATATCAAACATTGATTCAACCTTGAGAGTTACGATGAGGCGTCACATGTACATTTCGTAGGACTTGGAGTAATGTCTAGAATGATGTAGTACAATATAAAATTTACGTGCAACTCACAAAGAAATCAACTAAACAGACAACGAGAGGACGAGAGAGATATTTATATAGAGAGAGAGGAAGGATAGGGAACAAACACTTTTGTTGGCAGCAATTGTGCTTCAAAAATGCGAGCGATCACAATAAAGATCTCACATTTCTCAAATTTCTTGTAACAAAAAGGTTCAATTATATAAAGCTTTTCACCGCCTATCTTAAAGTAGATATTCATTGATTTTAAAAACTAACTTATTTTCATTATTGCAAAGTTGAAACTTTGATTCGACAAGGTTATCAAAATTCAATGCTTTGAAACATTCGAAGTAATGATTATTATAAATTACAAAACGCTTAAATACAGCCCCGGCATAGCACCTGAAGAGCTCTCCGAACGCCGCAGAGATGTGTGAGATCACAGTATGGACATGTTTTGCACAAGCAGACGATGTCCCATGACATCTCACACATTTTCAGTGCCTGTGTTTTCATCTTCTCATGAGTTCTTTCTCTTACTTCACTACCGTCAGGCTAAATGTATAATCTATTGCCTCACTCTAAACCCCGCGCATGGTTTTATTTTGATGACAAATGCAGTGATACAAAAATAAAGGAATCTGTCGCTTGTAAACAAAATCAGACGCCATTGTATTTTCAGCTGCACACAACGCGGTATGTTCGGCGTTTCAAGAGGGAACAAATGCCGTCCGGGGGTTTTCAATTTGAAAGTCTGGTTTCTTTGATTGTTAATTAACCCATATCCTGTGTATTTACAAGCAAAAGATTTTAGTTATCAGAATCGGGTCATATCCCCTTTTGAATGGTTTGACATGCCATTACATTTATATACACTAAACTCATTATAATTTGACAAATAATAACTTTGCAATTATGTTGATTCTTTATGGGATGTCGTCTGCTTGGGCAGTATTGGTCCATATAGTGACGTCATTAAAACATCGTTATTTTTCCGGCGAATCTCTCGTATATCCCAGCTGCTATGGAGGTGGTTGTATTTGTATTTTTATAAATCACCCGATATGTAGATGACCTATAAACTTGTACGCTGGCGATCTGTTAGCTTACCAGTTTCTATTGATACATTAGTTGACATATTTGTGATTTTCTTTGAATTTCACCTTTAACATCGATTATTTAAGTTCGGTAGTTGAAGTTCATAAAAGATCACTCAGGCAAACAATTATAACGTCGTTTTTCAATGTGACTGTGGGTTAAGAGCGATAATATGACAGTGTGAATTCTACGCGACATCACATGTATATCATAGGGGATGGTGCAGAATCGGGGGACGTGGGTTGTACAAGCCCCTTCCTCTCCCCATCTTCGCAGCTAGAGGCCAACGATACGCCACCTGTTCATGTACGTAATATATATCGACTATCCATATTTATGATGATAATGATGTCTTGGTCCGTATTACCAATAGCTTTACTTGTATGTATTACCCTACCTAGAACATTTTCTAAGTGGATCCTTGAAAGAGTAGAGCTGCAATTAAAAAAGAAGGTCAAGTTGAGTTCTTGTTCATGCAATCAGATTGTTGATGAGTAATTGGCTCAATTCTAATTAAAGGCCTATTCACTGTCCACAGGATCCCAGTCAGTTTGTTCAGGGAAAGTTTGTACTATTTGATACTCTTTCAAACTTACGTATATTCTTTTCTAAAGCTCTCATATCATTTATCATCTGTACCAGAACTCAACCTTCTCTTTAAAAGCTCGAGTCATGTGATTGCACTGTTAATTAAACAGCCGCGCAATAAACATAACAATGTTTCCCGATATCGGGGTGATTAGGAAAAAAACATGATCATAAAGACTTTCGAAAAATCACATTCATGGCAATATCAATACCATATTGAAGTGCCTAGAGAAGAGAATTTCAGATTACGTAATATAACGCAATTGCAATGTTTTTTTTACATTTCAAGAGGTGGTGTACAAACCTTTTGATATTGCCTAATAAGCTACAATTTTGTGAAAGTTTTGTGTGATCGTGATCGTAGCTCTAACGTGCAGTGTGAAACCAAACCGCGCCAGGAAGCGTCCTTTAATCGGAAGTGAGTTTGTTTGGCGGGAAAGTAATGAAAGATAGAAATATATTACAGTAAAAAGAAATAAATAAGAGAATAATATAAGGAAATATATTAGCAGGAAGAAAAAAAAATATTTACATAGGGAAAGGAAAAAAGAAAGATAAAATGATAAAATGATAGAGACAAGAAATAACATTAAAGAAGATGATAGATGGAAATTTAAACAAAGACGATAGAGTAATTGTAAAGAGAAAGACTAGCAAAGGGAGAGATAGAGCAGAAAATCAAGGAATAAAAAAGAAATAATAATATAACGGAAGACAGAATGAGAAAATGACAAAAAGAAAAACAAAGGATAGCATAAGTAAAGACAGAAAGAGAAAATGATAGAATGATAAACAAAAAGAATAACATTGGAGAAGATGATAGAAGGGGGAAAGGGGAAACGAAGAAAGAGAAGATGAAAGAATAATAAAGATTAAGAATAAGAAAAGGAAAGATAGAAGAGAAGATGATTCCGCGCGAAAATGGCCCATGCTATCATAGCCACAGTTTCTTATTGCTATGGGATCACGTGACTCATCAGGGTAAAGCATTGCGATAAGTGTGATACCGAACAAACCGTACCTCTGGAGCGGTCCAGGGGATAGGTCTAGCATACATCGGTCCAGCA